GAACGCCACCCCCTCCATCCGTTTACCTGCTGCCAGCTGCAAGCTTCTGGAGCAAGCGCGGCGAGGAGGTCCCAGGCGGGACGCTCCGCCTGCCCTGCCAGCATGCCTGGGGCTGCGGCAGGGAAGAGGTTATCGACATGGGAAGGAACGGACAAGAAAGGAGGCAGGGCCAGCTTGGGATGCATGTGCAGTGCTGCAGCACACCCTCGGGCCCCAAGTCTCCTGCGCACTCGTCCCCAAATCTATCCCTCTTCATCGCTGGACGTGCCCACTTGAATAATGAGCCTCCCATTGGCCTGCACTTCAGGCGACAGCTCCATTTTGAGAGCAGTAAGCCTCCGTGTACGTAGTGGAATCAGAGCAGCCTGACATATCTGGTCGTACTTTTCGAGGACGTTCCAGGCGAGAAGCCGATCTCGAGAAGGAACCGCCACATCTAACTCTGGCACAACCCGTGGGGCACTTCTGGAGACTTCGCCAGAGGAAGTTTCAGTCGAGAGCCTTTCTGCGAAGAGGACCCACCCGTCCAAGCATGCAGCTGCCGGGGACTCTGAAGTCGGAGGCGTGCGGCGCCAGAGTACGCAAGAGCCACACCTCGACAACGACTCGCCCTCTACCCCAGTAGCCTATGGAGACGGTGGTCAGACAAGAGTCGCTCGTTGAGCAGTTTTCATAGCTCCTCCCTCCTCCTCCTCCTCCTCCTCCTTCTCTTCCTCCTGTTCCTCCTTCTCCTCCTACCCCCCCTCCTCCTCCTCCTCCTCCTCCTCCTCCTCCTCCTCCTCCTCCTCCTCCTCCTCCTCTCCCTCCTCCTCCCCCTCCTCGCCCTCCTCCCAAACCTCGGGCTTCTGGGTTGGGAAGATCGCGAGGAGCGGGTTCGCGCCCTCTCCGCCTTCCCCCGTGGTGTCGCCGCCGCTCTGCGGCCACCGCTCACGCGCCGCGCCCGAAGGGCGTGCTCGCGCCTTCACTCAGCCCCCCGACAGGGAGCAAGGCCGAGGACAAACAGTCCTCGTGCTCCAGACGCTCGCGCCTACGCGCGGCTCCCCGATGGGGAGCGGGATCCCTGCCTGGACAAGGCACACCTTGTTTCCGCCGCAGCTTCCCGGAGAAGGAGCGGGCCCCTGCCTGGATAAGGCAAACCCGAGCGGCAACCGCAGTCCATGAATAAAGGATGGGTCTTTGTTTGGACAAGTCAGACCCGCGCGGCTCGGCCCAGACCCTGAACAACGGGTGGGCCGCCGGCCAGCCAAAAGTCGAGCCAGCGCCCACAACGGTTGTCGTGGTTTGTTTGGACAAGTCAACCGCGGCGACAGTGGACAAACGAGGTGTTTCTTCGCCTGCCTTCCCAGCCCCGAGCTTGGTTCGGCTGGTGCTCTGCCCGGGTGGTGTTGGGGGTTGTGTGTTGGCCCGTCCCAGAATGCCCACCAGTGCGTCTGCCGTTTTTTCTTTCGTTTCGCACGAGGGCACCAGCCGAACTCAGGACGACCAGCTGCCGTCTCGGTTTTCAGCCTGATCTCGTTTTCACTTCTTGGAGGTCTGTCAGACGCGGCGCTGGACGCGGCGCTGGGGCCAGAGCCTCACTTTGACAACGATGTGTTCTCCATGCGCGCAATTGCTGGTGACTTGTTAGACGAATGTGCGCAACGCTGGCATGCTTGAAACGATCCGCCTTACTCCTTGTAGCTGCGGGGAGCTTCGAAGACGAATGTGCGCGGCGCTCAGACGAGGGCTCCACCGAGGAAGCGTTTGGCCCCTCTATTTCTGTAGTTGTTGGACCTTCCAAGTTTCAGGTTCATAGGCGGTGAGTGTCTCAGGTGGAACGCCTGGCCCGCGCTACCGACGCGTCTCATGGTACGACAGAGTGGTGGAGACATGTACCGAAAGGCAGTAGCTCATGGCAGCGATGATGATGCTGACGATGACGGTGATGACGACGATGGTAATGATGATGTCGATGGCGATGATGATGACCATGATGATGATGATGTTGATGATGCTGATGATGATCATGCTGATGCTGGTGATGAGGATGATGAGGATGATGATGATGATGATGATGATGATGATGATGATGATGATGATGATGACTATGATGGTGATTATGATGGTGATGGTGATGGTGATGGTGATGGTTATGCTGATGCTTGTGATGATGCTGCTGATGATGCTGATGATGATGATGACGATGAGGAGGCTGATGATAATGATGATTGTGGTGGTTGTGTTGGCGGTGGTTAAGGCAATGAAGAGAAGAACCAGGAGGATAATGAGGAGGGGAGCTATATCTTCAACAATACGTCGGGACGAGCGGAGAATAGGAAGAGGAGGCGGAGGGGGGAGAAGTAGAGACGAGGAGGAAGACGAGGTCATAAGAGTTGTCTGGAGACCTCCGCCTGAAGTCCCCGAAGACCCTCAGAAGCCTCCGAAGACTCGCGGAATGTCTGAGTCGCCAAAAGGCCGTGACCGTCGTTGTCTTTTCGTTGCCGTCGCGGTCGCCTCGCCGCTGTCACCGCCGCCGCCGTCCTCGTCGTCGTCGTCGGGGGAGATCGGACGGGGCTAGGACGAGGATGAATCTCTCCCAGAGCGTTCCGGAACGCTCTCAAAGCGTTCCAGAACGCTCTGAGAATGCCGCGGCGCCCGAGACATCCTTCAGAGCCGCCTGATCTCAGAGAGCTTCGATTCATCCTCACCCGATGTTACCCTCGTCCTGGCTTCGTCTTAGAAGCAGGCCTACACCACCACTTCGGCCGTCTTGACGACCGCCTGCGAGCCTGCCTGGCGCCCGCCCCCTGCCTGGCCAGCCGTCTTCGCCGCGGCCGCGGGGGTCCTCCATCCTGTTCGGCGGGCCGTCGTCGTCATCGTGGAGGGCTGGACGAGCTGCAGAGCAGGAGGAGAAGACGAGGAGAAGAGGAGGAGGAGGAGGAGGAGGAGGAGGAGAAGGCCCCTTCTCCCTCTGCCTCCTCCTCCTCCTCCGCCTTCTCCTCCTCCTCCTCCTCCTCCTCTTCCTCCTCCTCCTCTCCCTCCTCCTCCTCCTCCTCCTCCTCCTCCTCCTCCTCCTCCTCCTCCATGGTATCATCATCATCATCATCATCATCATCATCATCATCATCATCATCATCATCATCATCATCATCATCATCATCATCCGCCCCTCCGCATGCTCCATCCCCTTGGACGACGACGAGAAGGACGACGGACGAAAAGGGGGAGGAGGAGGGGGATGAGGGGGAAAAGGAGTAAGGACGAGGAGGATGGACGCGAAGGGAGATGATTCTGGTGATCATGATGGTGTTGGTGATGGTGGTGATGGTGGTGATGGTGGTGATGGATGGTGGTGATGGTGGTGATGGTGATGGTGATGGTGATGATGGTGATGATCATGATGATGCCGATGCTGCTAATGATGGTGATGATGACGATATTCATGATGATGAGCTTGCTAATTATACTTATGGTGATCATAATGATGATGAAACTGATGATGACGATGATGCTGATAATGATGATGATGCTGCTGATGATGATGATCATGATAAGCATCAGGATGGCGAGGAGGACACTGATGTTGATTATGATGATGATGGTGGTAATGGTAAGGATTATCTCGACGACGAGGATGATGACTGCGATGCTGATAATGACGATGCTCATGATGCTGATGCTGCTGATGATGATGCTGATGCTGATGCTGATACTGAAGCTGATCAGATGATGCTGATGATGCTGATGATGCTGATGATGCTGATGCTAATGCTGCTGTTGATGTTGATGTGGACGCTGATTATGATGATGCTGCTGCTGTTGCTGCTGCTGATGATGATGATGATGATGACGAGGAGGAGGAGGAGGAGGAGGTGGAGGACGAGGTGGATGATACGGGTATACTTAAGAACACATCGGGGACAAACACGGAGGCTACAAATAGTTGAGGGGGAGAGATTGTAATGGTGATGGTGATGGTGATGGTAATGGTGTTGATCATGTTGTGCTGTTCCAAATCGGTCCCGGAAGCGTTTCGCATAATCCCTCGGAGATGCTCCAAATTGGGCCTGGGAAGGCTCCCAACAGGCCACGAGAGTGTTGTGAAGTAAGCCCCAGAGCGGTTCCAGACAAGGTTCCAAATCGGGGCCCCAGAGCTGATTCTTCTATTCTTCTTCTTCTTCTTCTTCTTCTTCTTCTTCTTCTTCTTCTTCTTCCTTCTCCTCCTCATCTTCTTTCCATACCTGCGCAGCTGTCGCCACTTGCGTGGGCTCATGTGAGGTTCAGCGGAGTGGTGTTCTACGCGCGCGCCAGCTAGGCCTCGCTGCTCCCTGTCGGGCTGCCACCCGCGCAGCCCCTCGTGCGGGCTCCTGGGATGTCCAGCGGAATGGTGTCACGCGCGCGCGCAGACCAGACCTCGCGTTTCGGGGCGGGGGGGTGGCGGGGCGCAGCTGTGGCCACTGTCGTGGGTTCCTGAGGAGGAGGAGGAGGCGGAGGAGGTGGAGGAAGGGGGGGGGAGGAAGGGGAGGAGGAGGAGGAGGAGGAGGAGGGAGGAGGAGGAGGAGGAGGAGGTGGAGGAGGAGGCGGAGGAGGAGGAGGAGGAGGAGGAGGAGGAGGAGGCGGAGGAGGAGGAGAGGAGGAGGAGGAGGAGGCGGAGTGGTGTCCCGCGCGCAGCCAGGCCTCACCTCGCGGCCCGCTGCGGGGCTGCCGCCCCCGCATCGTCGATGCGTCGCCGCTGCGTCTCGATGTGGGGCCCGATGTGTTTCGCGTCGACGTCGCCGATGCATCGCAGAAGTCGACGACGCGTCGCCGGTGCATCCCCGATGCATCGCCGATGCATCGGCGATGCGGCGCAAGCCTCCGACCCATCTACTCCGACCCCTGCGCATTTTGACGAGCGCGTCCTGGACTTGGGCGGTCCAGTTTTCGTGGGATGCCCACAGCGGAATCTCGCGTCAAGTCTCAGGCTGGGCCATCGTCATTTTCATGATGGCCCGTCAGGCCAACCCGAGTCCCCCGAACCCGAGTCTTACGTCTCCCCGAAACAGCCGCCACGGTCGTGGTCATCACTGTCGCGGGCTCCCTGGAGGTCAGCGGTGTGGTGTCGCAAGTGAGCACACCCCGGCCAGATTTCGTTTTGCTCCCTGCGGGGCTGCCGCCCGCGCAACTTTCCTGCCCCTTTCGAGAGTTCCTGGGAGGTCCAGCGGATTGGTGTCCTAAGGTCGGACCGAGGTATAAGAGCGAGGTCGGTTCGGGGAGGGTGCCCTAATGTTCCTCGTGGTTGTTGGATGTTCTTGTGCATCCTGGGGGGAGGTGCCCTCGAATGTTCTTCGGTTTGGCTGGCGGAAGGTCTCGTGTTCTTGAAGGATGTTTTTCTGTCCTAGGTCCGACTGTACGTGCGCCCCCCAGACTAGGCCGCGGGCTTCCCAGGTATCGCCGAGCAGCTCCAGAAGCGCGCTCCCCTCAACGAAAAGAAAGGCAACAAAGAACCGTCACATCCGGAGACCCGGCGGCGGGCCTCAAGAGAGCCCCAGGATGGCCCATGCTCGTCCCAAGAAGGCCCCAAGCGAGCCCCAAGAGTGCCTGACAGGGTCCCTGCAACCGCCGGAGTCCCCCTCCAGATGCCCTGCGGCCGCCTCCGCTTTACCCCAGCGGTGTTCAAGAGGACGCCAAGACGGCCTCCAGCAATTTTGCAGTTTTTCCCCCTGCGAAGATGCGGGATGCCATGGGGATCGGGGCACGTTCAAGCTGGTCAGTGGTCGACCTCACGCCGTACGTACCGCGGCGACTACATTTAGCGCCCACGGTAAACTGACGCCCTTTTCAAGATTGGCGGACCCTCCTCCGAGTGCGGACGCACCCGGCATGGGATGCGAGCGGGCACCAGCTCAGATTTGACGGATCTGTACCCCCTCTCCTCAGCATCCCTAGACCTCTCCCTTTCCTCCGTTCCTTATCCCGCGTAACTTGGAACCCAGGCAGTGTTTGCATCATCCCGCAGGTGTGCAGCGTGTTGAGCGTCGATCTTGCGCCTGAGAGCGGATGCATTGCTGTTGCGTATTCGTGGCTTGCCTCCTCCTACCCTTCTTCTCCCACCCTCTTTGCTCACGAGTATGCACGCCGAGCTTGCGTGGTGACCCACGTAGCCTCGTGTAAACATGTGCACACGCTTCAGATTCAGCGCGTAAGCGCAGGGATAGAGAGATGCCTCCAGCCAGCCACCACGACAACGGCAGGAATATCCGAGACGAACTTGGCAGGAAGGTCCAAAACGAATTTCAAGAGTCTTACAGGGACGGCCACCGCCACATCGCCACGAGTGTCGGCGTCGAGCAGCGACAGTGTCGCCCCCCACAAGGGCCGCCCCTCCTTCGCCTCCCTTCTCCTGTGCGACGCGCTGCGGGACCACTGGGCCTGCCCTGACGCGCTGCGGCACCGCTGGGCCTGTCTGGCCTTGTCCGGTGCACTTCCTGGCATGGTCCAGCGCATCTCTCTGGCCAGGCACGCACCACCAGGCCCTCAGTCTGGCCATTTGTTCTCGGAAGTTCTCTACATCTCCTCAAAGTTTGTTCATGCCCTCTCCGTGCCACAGGCCACCATCGAAGAGAAACAAACACTACAAACATAACCTTTTGGCGCTTCGCGCGGATTTTTTGGATTTGCGCTGGGCCCTCCCGGCGCCGCCTCCGGCGCCGCCCTTGGCGCGCTCCGCGCGCCAGGGAGGGGGGTCCGGCGCGGAGTGCCACAAGTTTATGTTTATGCCGTTTCTTTGGTTTTTTGTTTTTTTGTTTCTTAGTTTGTCGTGTTCTTCTACTACTCGCACAGTGCCTACTCGCAAACGTCAGCAAACAAAACAAACATGCCTCCCTCTGTATCATCGAGCGTACATCTCCCGCGGCGGATCCAGGCCATTTGCGAGCAGCTTTGTTTTGCGAGTAGTGGAACGCGCTTGTTGATACTACTCTTCTTCCTCCTCTTCTTCTTCTTCTTCTGTTTTTTTTTCTTCTACTACATCTCCTCAAGGCTCGTTCATGCCCTCTTAATGCCGCTAGCCACCAGCCCTTCGACGCGACGCTTTCCCCGGCCACGGTTGGGTGAGGAGCCCCTCTCGGTTCCCCCCCTCGCCCGCCCTCTGCTCGCCGCCGCCCGTCTCCTCCTTCTCGTGGAGGAGGCACGCGATGCGAGGTCTGCTGCCGTCCGCCTCAGCAGGCTGCAGAAGGATGGACAGCACAGTGGAGGGATTCTCCGAAGAGCTTAGGCGACCCGTCCTCCTCCTCCTCCTCCTCCTCCTCCTCCTTCTCCCTCCTCCTCCTCCTCCTCCTCCTCCTCCTCCTCCTTCTCCCTCCTCCTCCTCCTCCTCAATCTCCTCTTCCCCCTCTCCCTCCTCCTCCTCCTCCTCCTCCTCCTCCTCCTCCTTCTCGGGTCGCCTACGGCCCCGGGAGAAACCGTGCACAACACGGTGAGGATGATACAGTGGAGACCCATGCCAAGAAACACCCTGCCTGCCTCCAGGGTGCCCCGGGTTTCTTGGGTTTCGAGGATTTTGCGATGGAGAGTGTGACGCCCCCACGCCAGAAGTCCATGGACGTCCTGGGGTCTCAGGGTTGGGTTTCTTGTGGAAGATTTCTTGTGGTCGGGCACCTACTGTCGGGGAACGAACAATGACATAAACATAAAAACTCAGAGGTCCGCGCGGATTTCTCGGATCGGCGCTGGGGCACCCCGTCGCCGCCTCCGGCGCCGCCCCTGGCGCGCAAAGGGCGCCAGGGAGGGGTGTCCAGCGCGGATCCAAGAAACCCGCGCGGACCTCAGAGTTTTTATGCTTATGTCATTCTCGTTCCCCTAGATGAGGAGGACGACGCACCCCCCTGCAGCGGATGTCTATGACAAAACGAACTGGCCACTCCAAGACTGGCTCGCAGCCGACCGTTTCGCGCCACCCGCACGTGCTGTGAGGAGATGCAGTTTGCTGCTTCAGCGTGAGGATGGCAGAGGAAACGCAACCGCAAGCAGTGCGCCTGATTGCCCTCGGCCCGAACCTAGGCGCGCGGGAGGCGCGACGCTTGAGTGCACTTGGTGAGTACCTGTGCGCCTTGGCTAGGCAAGTTGCCCGTCATGGGAACACACGCGCCCGCGCGTGTATACATGTAGCGGGCGACCGGGGGTCACGGGCCCCCGGGCAGTGCCCCGACAGCAGCATGGAGTGCCAGGGTCTCCGCCCGCCCTTTGGGGCCACGAAAGCGCTTCTGCAAGTGCGGCACGATGCCCCCCAGGGCGGTCCAGGATGGCTCCCATGCAGTGAGCGGCTTGAAGAAGGAACACTTGCTTTTCAAAAGGGGCTCGGTCGTTCCCTAGGCTTGCATGTCATGCCTTATGTATCGTTCCTTATACGTTATTTCCCATTGCTCCTTACGCGTTATTCCTTGGAAAATCGTTCCTTTGGTCAGGCCGATGACTGTACACCCGATGGCACCGACACCGCTGCCCGAGTGAATTTGCAACAGCCGAGGAAACCTCCCAACAGGTATTGGAAGAGGCTCACATGAGCCATTCAAGACGCCCCTCAGGAGCCTCCAAGAGGCCCCCCAGGAGGGCCCGATGTGGCACACATCGTCAAGTTATTGTACTGTACCGTTCGCCTTTGTTTTCTGTCTTCGACGACCCCAGAGGCTCCCAATGTAGCCCCAAGACGGCCTATGAGGCCTCCAAGAGGGCCCCGCGACGGTCTAAGAGGCCGCCAAGACAGCCGCAGGACGGCCCCAAGGCGGCCCCAAGACGGGCCAAGAGATTTTCAAGACGAACCTAAAACAAAGCCGCCAGACCGTCCGAAGAGCTCACCAACATCTCCCAGAGAGGTCACAAGACGACCTCCGACGGTGTCGGACATGCCAAGGGTTTCCTAAGACTTCCCAAGAGGCCCCCAAGGCGGATTAGTCAAATACCCTCTTTTGTTCCAGTGCTCTGTCTCAACTGGCGCAGGTCGTGCACACTTTTTTTGCCTTCAGCCTCCTCATCCTCCTTTTTCCTCCTTCCTCCCCCCCTCCTCCCCCTGCCTTCTTCTCCTCCTTCCCCGCCTCCCTGTTGGAGGGATCTCGGCGGCTTCCTGGGGGCCTTTTCGAGCATCATGCGTCTCGTACCGTCTTGAGCACGATGGTTCAATCGAGCTCTCCCAAAGAGGCTCGGTTGAGCCTTCTCAGGGACGTCTGGGCTGGTCTTAGGGCTGTCTTCGATCCATTTCGGGGCAGAGGCCATATTGGTGCGTTCTCGGCGCCTTCTTAGGGGCCATCTTTAGGGCCTCCTAGGGCCGTCCTGGGGGTATCTTGCGGCTCGGTGGAGCTTACACGAGACGAAATGAAACCAAAAAGCCTAGCAAGCCAAAGATCCCAATAATTCATTCGTCCGGCTTCTCAGGGCCTCGTTTGGACGTGTGTCGGGAGGTTCGTGGCGCATCTTGAGAACAAGTTGGTGTTTCGGGCCAGTCGTTGGGAGTTTGTATTGGGGCCGTCTGGCTAGGTCTTGAGGCCTCCTTCTCCCCCCCTCCTCTCCCCCCCTTCCTCCCAGGTGCCCGTTCATCCTGTGCGTGGGATCGGCCATTTCTGAGTGCCGCTGTTCCTGCGCGACAGCGACCTCGGTGACGACGACCTCAAGCGCGACGACCCAAACGAGCAGCTCCTGCGAGCCCTCCTGGTGCGCCTTCGCTAACTGCCAACTGGCGGCCGCCGTGGAGGAGTGCCTGTGTTCGTGCACTACGGCGACGGCAACCTCGACCTCCACAATGGTCACCTCCACGACCTGGACGACAAGCGTGTCCGGCACGACAACGCAGTCAGCGACGCTGACCGGCACGAGCTCGACGCTGACTTCCTCGACCCACAGCAGCACGCTGTCCTCGACCACAAGCACGACCAGCACTCCGCGGTACGTCGATGGGCCGAACGTGGGGAACAACGTGTGGGACACGCTCTGCCAGGTCTGCCGCTATAACACACACACATCTCTTTCTCTCTCTCTCTCGCTCTCTCTCGCTCTCTCTCTCTCTCTCTTTCTCGCTCTCTCTCACTCTCTCTCTCTCTCTTTCTCTAGATCGAAGACGCCTACGGCGAATCACCGCCACCCCCTGCATTTCTGGAAACGCCTATGTGGCCGAAAGTTGGGCTAGAGCTTGGCCAAGCTATCGGACCATATGTTCCCCGAGTCGGTCTGGAAAGCCTCCGCGGAATACGTGGGGAGAGAAAGAGAAAGTGGAGGAGAGGGAGGAACAAGGAAGAGGAGGAGGAGGAGGAGGAGCAGGAGGAGGAGGAGGAGGCCTCTTGGAAGCCTCTTGGGGCACTGGTGGGGCCTCCCGGGAGCTTCCGGGGGGCCTCTTGGAGGCCTCTTGTCCTGGGAGCCTCCTTGGGCCTCTTGGGTGCCTTTGGGGGCTTCTTGAAGGCCTCTCTGGCCATCTTAGGGCTTTCCTGGCCCGTCTGACGCCGTCGGAAGCCGTCTTGGGGGCCTCTCTGAACCGACTCGGGGCCGTCTTGGAGCGCTTCAGGGCCGTCTTGGAGGCCATCTGCGGCGTCTTGGAGGCATCTTGGACCGTCTTGGGGCCCTTATGTTGCTTTATTGGGGCCTGTTGGACCGTCATGGGGCCATCCTGGAGGCCGTCTTAGCGGCCATCTTGGCCGTCTTGGAGGTCGTCTTGGCCGTCTTGGAGGCATCTTGGAGGCCGTCTTGGGCGTCTTGGAAGGCTCTTGGGCAGTCTTGGGACCCTTCTTCGGACTGGGAAGAGGGGGAGGGGGAAGAGGAAGGAAGGAGGAACGTGGGGCGCTGTCTCTTCAAAACGAGGACCCAAAACCACAGGATGGTTGGGAGTATGAAGTGAGCTCGAATGGGGGTGGGGTTCGGCGCCGCCTCAAGAGATCCGCGCTGGCCTTTCCGTGTTTGCAGACGGAGCTTTGGCATGATGGGGTCCACCGTTGGTTTCGAAAGGGGCTCGTTGTTCCTTGGGTCGATTCATGGGTCTCCCCTTGGCTTTCTTCGTGGACCTGGACGCAGCTGGGGCCCCCAACGGGGTTCCATGGTCCAAGGTATCTTGTGGTCGGGCGGCGACGTGACCTATACATGCCCGCCGCCCCTGGCCTGGCCAGGGGCGGTGGATCTGTATACGTCTCGTGGCCCAGGCACCATACTCCAGTACTTCCGATGGGAGGGCCGAGGGAAGGCGGGACGCAAAAGGATTGGGTGGGAGGGGATGAGGAAGAGGGACGAGGAGGAGGAGGAGGAGGAGGAGGAGGAGGAGGAGGAGGAGGAGGAGGAGGGGGAGGAGGGGAGGAGGAAGGAGGAGGAGGAGGAGGAGGAAGTGTGTCTTGACTCCCGTGCTGCCAGTGCACCAGGGCCCGCCGACGACCCTGGACGGGGCTGCCCTGGCGTGCAACGCTCTGGCGGCCTGCTCCGTCGTGGCGGGCTTCGGCTGCCTCGGAGGCGCCCTCTACAAGGCTCGTGCTCCTGCTACGCCGGGCGGGGGGAGGAGGAAGAGGGAGGATGAGGAGGGACGAGGAGGCGGAGGAGGCGGAGGAGGAGGAAGAGGGAGGAGGAGGAGGAGGAGGAGGAGGAGGAGGAGGAGGAGGAGGAGGAGGAGGAGGAGGAGGAGGAGGAGGAGAGGAGGAGGAGGAGGAGGAGGAGGGTGGCATGTCGCCTGGCGCGTCCCTTGCGACGTTCCGCGGCGCGTCCTCCTGGCATGTCCCCCTGTCAATTAGCTCTGCGGCAGATACTATGTGTTCAGGCAGCTCGAGCTTAAGATCCAGATCAGTTCGGTCAGGACTCGGATGCAAAGGAGGACTCGATCCACGACGCTATAGAGCACAACCGCGGCATGGCACATCGCAATTCAGCACGGTACAGCACAGCACAGCACAGCACAGACTTCGGCACGGTACATCAAGATCTACACAATCAGAATTGCAACCTGGCACGTTCCTTGGCACGTTCCGTGGGGCGTCCCTTGGCGAGTCCCCCTGGCACGTCGCGTGGCGCGTCCCCTGGCACATTCCGTGGCACATCCATTGGCACGTTCCGTAGTGCGTCCCCTTAGCACGTCCTTCGGTGCGACCCCATGGCACGTCCTCCTGGCATGTCACCTGGCGCGTCTCTTGAGACGTTCCGCGGCGCGTCCTCCTGGCATGTCCCCCTGTCAATTAGCTCTTGGGCAGCTGCTATGTGTTCAGGCAGCTCGAGCTTAAGATCCAGATCAGTTCGGTCAGGACTCGGATACAAAGGAAGACTCGATCCCCGACGCTATAGAGCACAATCACGGCATGGCACATCTCAATTCAGCACGGTGCAGCACAGCACAGCCCTCGGCAGGGTACATCAAGCTCGATCCACTCAGCATTGCATGTGCCCGTCACCCAATCAGGTGTCTTTGAAAACGCTGCCACGCATTACATTTCTATATTCCTTTCCGGGTTCGTGGGTCGATCATGCTTCCAATGGCTTGCGGCCCATCCCGCCGCCGTACTTATGTAGTGGGTCAGACTCTTCATGAATGCTTCTTGGGGTTTCTTCGGAGAGCGCTCGGGAGCTCTTGGGAGGCAGATTTGAAACCCTTTGGGAGCCTCTTGGGAATATCTTGGAGGCTCGTTGGGGTTTCCTCGGGACCTCTCGGGGTATTATCTAGCTGCCTGCGGCATGCCCCGACACAGTGCCAGTCCAGCATGCTCGGTGGCGATTGTTCGAGAGGGCATCGGAGGCATCTTGGATGTTTGTTGGGATTTTTCTCGTGAGAGGCCTCTCGGGGGCTTGTTGGAGGCAGTTGTTAGGCCTCTTGGAGGCTGTTTGGGGTCTCTTGGGGGCCTCTCGGGGTCCTCTTGGGACTTTTCGGAGGCATCTTGGGGCCTCCTGGGGGCCTCTTCGGGCACAAGGCCGTTTTGAGGCCCTCTTGGGCCGTCTTGGGACCCCCTTGGGGGCCTCTTGGGACGTCTTGGGGGGGCCCCTGGAGCCGTCTTGAAGCGTCGGAAGCTCGAAAAGGCGACAATGTGAAAAACGTTCAATAGCACAATGGAAATCAATGATTTTTGCCCCTCGGGGCCCTCTTGGGGGTCCTCTTGGAGCGCTCTTCGGGGCCTCTTTGGGGCCTCTTGGGCCGTCTTGGAGGCATCTTGGGCCATCTTGGCTTCTTTGGTGGCCTCCCAAGTCCGTCTTGGAAGCCATCTTGGGTATCTTGGACGCCTGGGAGAGCGCCAGGGACTTGTCTGGGCGCCGACAGAGCCTCGAAAAGAGGGGGCGCGCCATGCAGATGAACGCTACCAGGAGGGGGGGGCTTTTAGGACATTGCAGAAACCCTGCCAGACAGCACTTGGCATTCTACCACGCCTCAACGTGCCAGGGGGCACGGAGGCGGATTTGAACCTCTTGGGAGTCTTTCGAGAGCTTCTTGAGGCCCTCCGCGGTTTTCTTGGGGGGGTCCTCCTGAGCCGTCTTGGAAGCCTCTTGGAGCCGTCTTGGAAGCGTCTTGGGAGCCTCTTGAGCCATCTCGGCGGCTTTGTGGGAGGCTCTTAAGCCGTCTTGCAGCATCGGGAGCCGAAAAAACATAACCGCGGCGTTGGCCCTCTTGGAGGGGGCTCCTGGAAACCTCTTGCGGCGTCGGGGAGACGTTTCTGGTCGATTGGAGCTTCAGCGTCCGGGAACGATTTTTGGAAGATTCTGGGCGCCTGGGGATTTTTGTGTGGATGTGTGTTTTTTTTTGGGGGGGAATCTCTGGAATGTTTGAATTTTTGTTTTGGAAAATTTGCAATTGTTGGAATTCCTGGAATCTCTGGCATTCTGTTGAAAACCAGAAACTCTAAAAACCCCAGAATTTCCAGAAATTCAAAAACAATTATCTGAAAACCCAGAAATTCCAGAAATTCGAGACATTCTCGGGAAATCCAGAAATTCCAGAAATTCTCCAGAATAGCGGCCCGGCTTGTGGCTCGCACTGATTTTTTGGTTGCTGGGTCCTCGCCTGGCTTTCGGGCCCTTTCGAATCCTAGTTTGGGTTCTTTGGGTTGGGCCGTCTGCGGGGCTTCTGGAGCATCTTGGACGCCCTGCGCCCATGCTCCCTGCTCTGCGCGGCTATCTCTCTCGCTCCCTCCCTCCTCCTGTCCCCCCTTCTTCTTTCTCCCTCGTCCTTCTCCCCCCCCGCCATCTCTCCCGTCCTCCCCCTCCTTCCTCTCTTCCTCTCTCTCTCGCTCTCTCTCTCTTCCTCTCTCTCTTTCTCTCTCCCCCTCTCTCTCGCTCTCTCTCTCTTTCTCTCTCTCTCTCTCTCCCTCTCTCTCTTCCCCTCTCTCTCTCTCTCCCTCTCCCCACCACCTCCTCCCTCGACCTCCTCGGCTTCCCCCCCTCGGCTGCAGCAGCGGCGCGGCGCCCCAGGCCTGCGCCGTGCCCCTGGAGGCCCTGCTCAGCGCCAGCACCGGCTCGGAGGCCCCGGCTGCCGCGCACGGCGCCGCGCCGCCGCCGCCCCCGCCGCCGCCCCGGCTCGGTCAACGGCCAGGCAGCGTCGTCGTCGTCGTCGTCGTCGTCGTCGTCGTCGTCGTCGTCGTCGTCGTCGTCGTCGGATCGGTCAACGGCCACCCCCGCACACGGCAGGCGTCGCACCGCCTCGGCGCGTCGGTGCGACGTTCGGCGCGGGCGCCCAGGGCTGAGCGCCCTCCCTGCTCGGCATCGCTCGGGCGTGTGCGTCTGTTCTCGGCGAGGACGATCGAGGAGTGCAGTCAGCCCGCGCAGTAAGGATGGGCAACCTTCCCAAGGGTACCCTTGCATCCTTGCCCCGTCGGCCAATCCTTTGCGACTTTCGCTGGCCAACCTCGTTCGGAAAACGTTGACACGGCCCTTGTATCCTTATCGCGCATCCGTATGATACGGGTTGACTGTATCTTGGGTCCTCTTGCGGGACCGTAAACGCACGGACCCGAAAATTGCACGGGGAGTGGACGTCCGAGCGATGGCGCGGCGCGGAGTTTGGTCTCTCCGACGGCCTCGCGGGCGCCTCCAGGGGAGCGGGGGTCGTTCCGCGCCGAGCGGGGCCGCGCTGCGTGAGAGGCCAGGGCGAACGGCGTCGACACGGCAGGAACATGTCGTGAGAGCGACGGGGGAGGCATGGTGGACAGGGTGGGCAGGCAGCCGAAGGTTGGCCGCCAGAATGATGATCGTGATGGTGATGAGAATGAGGGTGAAGATGATGATGAGGGTGATGATGGTGGTGATGATGCTGGTGATCATAATGATGAAGATGATGTTGCTGCTGATGATGATGCTGATGATGATGATAACGACGATGAGGATGAGGATGAGGATGAGGAAGAGGAGGAGGAGGATGAGGAGGAGGAGGAGGAAGAGAAGGAGGAGGAGGAGGAGGGGGAGGAGGAGGTGGAGGAGGAGGAGGAGGAGTAGGAGGAGAAGGAGGAACAATTAGGAAACAGCGCGCTCGAAAGATTCGTGCGGCAGCGAATGCGGCGCCCCACCCTCAGGAAGGCGCTCGCCTACCTGAGCCAGAACATCTACTTCCGCATTCGATTTCCGCTCACCTCTTGCATTGCCTTTGTTCTCACGCCTCCAAGGTGTCAGGTGACCACTGCCGCCACATCGGTACGCAGCACCACCTCGACTTCCGCGACTTCCACCTGGGAGCAAGCGTGGCACCGACGTGACCGTCGAGAAAGAGCAGCAGCACGTACGCTACTCAGAGTTGCAATCGCACGACAAGTACATCAAGCACATCACAGTCCGCAACAGCCACCGCGACGTCCACCAGAAGTTCCCACAATGGCGGCACCGGTGGGATCAACCGTGGGCAGGCGATCGATCGAGCGCGTCACCACCATGGAAACCAACCTCGAGCCGCACGCCAAGCAGGGGGCCACCAACGCGTCCAGCTGAGCCCGCGACCGGTTCAGGCCGTGAGTGGTGGAGGCAGGAGAAATCCGCCGCGCAATATGCAGCCCATTGCCCCGACACCTGTTGGAACGCTGGCGCCGGGCACTACTGGCAAAGAAGGCAAATGCAGCTTTTTCGATCCGCGCGGCGACTATATCGAGGATGCCAGCGAGCCGCACAATGGCGAGACCCAGGAGAAGGCAGGCAAAGGCAAACATCCATGCGCGCGAGAAAAAACACCGCAGGCCAAAAGAAACAGTGGGAATCCAACGAGGACTACAACGACCATTTCAGCGGCATGATCAGTAACATCATGCCCGTGCGCAGAAGCTTCGCCACCACAAGGCACAATTGGGAGGTATCACCCAACGACCCACAACTCATAGGGGAATGTCTGGAATCCAGGGCAGTTGAACAACGACGAGCAGCAGCCGCGATCATGAAGGCCAGCGCCGCTGTCTTACCCACTAGAAACACAGAAGCATATACCTTTCGTCAGAGCGATGATCATCGGCGGCATGCCACTTCACCAGCTGGCCAGGGACATCGACCGCAACCCGCAGACTATGGAGGACCACTGCGAATACACCAAGGCGCAACACAAACAAGTCGAGCAAGACCTGGTCACATCGGAGGCACATAGCAACGACAGGGGCATCAGTTTCGCGCGGGGCGACACATGCACCGAAGTTGGTGCAGCAGACGTCGAAGTAGACGTCCCGCGAAGAGACTCTGGCAAGAGGGGAAACCCGCGCCAGCACCGAGAATGCAAACTAGGGCCGGGGGGACAAGCGAGCGCCAATACGTTGGAGCGCTACTCGTGGCGATCAGGGAGGAGAGCTAACCAACACCACGCTGAAGTCGCATAGACGTCAAGAGCGAGACCAAGGAGGAGTTCGACAGCCTCTGCTGCGGCAGCGTGTAAAAGGAGAGGGCGAGGGAGAAGTCCGTGACGGAATTGCAAAAGCTGCGGCGACACCTTCAAGCAGTTGGGGAGACCGCGCAAGTGGAACAAACGAAGCAACCAAACGAAGCCAAGCAAGCGCAGCAGTACCATTACGAGCTGAAGGGGGGGCCGGCGAATGCCTCGACCACACGCGAGAAGATGACAGCCCACCACGAGCCGTTTCATAATACAGCGGCGAGTGCAATTTATGGGGCGGAGGAGGAGGAGGAGGTGCAGCCATAGGCAGGGATGTGGCTTACAACAATCCGTGATAAGGAGAGCAACGCATTTCCGTCATCTAGACCAACGATTTCAGCAGGCAGCTCCATCTGCTCGTGCTGGGGGGATTCCGACCACCTGCTCCGCGGCGCCCGCCTCGACGCGCAGGGCCTAGAGAAGCGCGCGGAGGCCGCCGCCCAGAGCGCGCAGGAGGGGCGTCAACAGAGGGTTGCCGACGTCGAAGGGGTTTTGCGAGCCAGAGATGTTGAGCAAGCCCAGCAATATGAACATCATTTCCAGAGGGTGCTCCATCACATCAACAGCTGCCAGGGGCAAGCTCAACGGCGCGCGGCCCATGCGGAGGGCCAGCTGCAACTGCTGGCACCGCAGCATGCGGCGATCGGCGCGGCAGAGCAGACATATGCTCACACACGCGGACCCAGGCATGCCAGCAAGAAGAGGCCACGCGGAGAGAATCGAAAGACGCGCGCGAAAGGCCCACCATGGAGGCGACCCGGCGTTATTTTTTCGCGCCACAAGCAGCGGCTCAAGCACAAGGGCGCCTCGACAACTCGGTGATGGTGGATTTCATCGAAAGAGGCCCGGGCCGCCGAGATCCCTGGCGACGAGGGGGGGGTCGACGGACTTCTGCGACCAGTTGCGCCCGTGGTTTCGCGAGATACCCTGCCAGGGGTCGCTCAACTCACGCGGCCTCTGTGCAACCTGGCAGCGCGAGAGACCGACGCGGGTGTCGACCGCATCGGCCCAATGCGTCACGAGCGCCATCAACTTCGCTCCTCCGCCCCCACAAGAGGACGTCGCGCTCCAACTGCAACGCGCGGCGCAAACGGCGGCGAGCCCCCGCGGGAGACCGCGGAATGCGACGCGCCTTCGCCGCCGACGCCCAACGCGCGGGCGCCGGGGCCGATGGCGGCAGGGTAGCCCGGCCGACGGGCCCCGGCATGATGGGGCCACCCGAGCGTCGCGTCGATCGACGCCCCCTCGTCCAAGACAACGATGGGCGACGGCCTCGGCGCCGCAGAGGAGATGCCGGCCCCCAGCTCGGTCGCCGCGCAGAGTCTTCGCCAGCGCCCCCGGCAGTGGTGCTTCGCCACCGCCGGCGCGCAGACGAGCAACGCCACTATCGCGGGGCTCCAGCGCTCGGAGGACATGAGGGCCGCCGTCGACCTTGCGAGCCCCGCCGCCCGCCTGGGCCGACGTCGTCGCCATCGAAGACGGCGACGGCTCCGTCCGCCAAGGCGCGATGGCAGCGCGAGCGTGGAGTGCGACGGCAATCGGGGACTGCGGCAAAGCCGCATCTACCGCATCGGACTTGGCGGACCTGGGCTTGCGCCTGGATGCGCGCGCAAGCGGGCGCTTGCAACGGCGCCCCCGCTGCAGTTCGCGCCGACTCCAAGGCGGCTAGCGGGCCTGCCGGCGGACGATTCAACACGCGGGCCAATCATGACCTGTCAGCGCTAGCCAAGCAGCTACACAACCATGCAGCAGCTGCGAGCAACATGCGCGCCGACCATTTTTTTTCGCGCCCACGCGGGGCACCCGTGGAACAGATGGCCGACTTGGTTGCCCAGCGACAGAGCTGGCAAGACGACGCCAACCCGCGACCCGAACGGGCGCGCAGCACAAACGACAGCCGGAGTGACTTCACCCGTCCGGCGATGCCACCAGAATGGCGCATCCGGATCCGACCGACAACGGCCTGTGCGCAACGGCGATTCAGCGGTGGCAGCGCCTGAGCACCTCCGACCACTCGACGAGTCCACTAAAATACCAACATCGACATCAGGGCGGCCACCTTCAACGCGACGAGCTTCAAGGGGCCCGCCCGCGCCCCCGTGGCTGCAGGGGGCAGCCCGCAAGATCACGAGGATAGAGGCGACCAACCACCTGCTCAAGGACACGGGTCCACGTGTTCGGGGCGCAGGAGATGAGGCCGCCCAGAGGCGCGGCGCCTGGGCGCGGCTTCCACGCCGCGCCGAGCGGCCACGGCAACCGCAATGTTCGCTTCTCACCGACGTCGACTTGGCGACGGCGCGGAACAGCGGATGCGACCCGAGCGCGCCGCGGCCCCGCGCCAGCCAGCCCGCGGCGCGCGGTAGCGGCGGCGCCAGTGCCTTCTGGGCGAAGCTCGGCAACGTGGCGCTCGAAGTCAACGTCGACCTCCTCGTGGTCGACGCCGGCGCGACCTCGGGGGCCGCCGCGTCCGGCGGCACAGGCGATTGTGGAGGGGCATTTCAGGGCAACGACGCAGGCGGCCGCTTCCACGAGCACGTCACTACATGCCAGCTGACAGTTGTCGCCGTGGCGATGGGGCGCGGGGGGGCAATGTGCGCGTGCAGAAGTTTGGATCAATCAAACACGC